AGCCCTTCTAAGGTGGAAAGGAACCAACGGCACAAATATTCATCTTATGCCCCCACCATCATCATGATGTTCTGGTATCTGATGTAGTGCTCCTGGGGGTCGGTCTTCCCGTCGTAGGGCTTGATGGGCTACCCTCGGTACTTTCCCGGAATCTTGGTCGCCAATACCGTTCGGGTAAACGGCGTCCTAGTCCGGAGTTAGATGACGGGTTCCCCGGAGCCTTCGGCCATTTTCTTCTGCATCTCCTCCATCTCTGCCAGCATGGCAGTGTATTTGGGGTCTGCCTGGGAGGCGGAAGCCATCGTGTGCGCTTGGCGGGCCTCCATCTCATCAAGGCAACGTTGGAGGGCCTCAATAACCTCGTCCCTGGGATCCCTCGGTAGGGCCTCCGCCCCCTGCGAGTGTATCCGGGCATAGTGAGCTTGGTTGATCTGGTGTCGGGCGTCGTTAGCATGGAGCAGTCCCTTGCCCTTGTCCTGAAGGGGACGCCTTTCATCTGCCCTGAATACGGATCCCCCGCTTTCCTGGGGTCTTTGGAGCGCCTTTCCCCCGAGGCGGTCTTGGACCCCTCGACGGTCTTGCGCCCCTCCGAGCCTGTTGAGGGTGGAAGTCCGGGGCCTTTCCTTGTTTGCATCATGGCGGTCTCGGGACTAGACCTCCTGGGAGGCGGTGTCTTGAGCCACGACCCCTTCGTCGTTCCCAATCCGAAGGATAGGGTTCACGAAGGGGGGTGGAGGCGGGGGAGGCACGGCGTTCTCCCCGACCTGTGGTTGAAGTGGCACCAGAGTGCCGAAGGCACCTGGATTCTGGGTGAGTGTTTGGATGAAGGCGGAGAATGCTGACTGCGCATCAATAGTGAGGACCGAAGGGCTTACCTGGTTTTCGCTCCGGTCCTTCTTTCTGGCCTCGATGCCGAGGCTGGCATCGGGGGCATTTTGTTGGAGCTGGAGGCGTAGGTCGACAGCCGCCTGTTCAACCCCGGTGATGACGCCACCCTCGGGAGCCCTGTTAGAGGCTTCGGGGGCGTTGACTTCACCGAGGGCCAGGTTCCTGTCCTCAAGGGTCTTGGATTGGGCACGAGTTGCTCTCACCGTTTTGGTAGATGTTTTTGTGTTTGATGAAGGGGAGGGTTTCTTACTTGATTGTTCGACCTCTCAACGAGAGCACCAAATGATGGATAGTGTACCCGGGGGGTAGCTTATCCGAGGGTTATTACTGAGAATAACTAGAGAGAAGTCAGAGCAAATAGTAAGAGAGAGAGTGTGTTCGAATAAGTGAACTTGTGATCAAGGCGTCGTTTACAATGGGGAAAAGGGGTGCTATTTATAGCAGCAATAAATGCTAGACAGGGACACGTGTCAAGCATCCGACGGCCGAGGGTCACCTCAATCAGGGTCGCACCGGCACTTGCATGTGGCCGCATTAAATGCGGTGGTTGGATGCGACGTTGTACTTGGTACGATGATTCAGGCGCATGTGGAGAGGAGATTCTGTCGAAGATGACGCTTTCGGCCGCAGGGTGTTGGGGCCGAAGGCAATCTGTTAACCGAGGGCCTCCCAATGCTGAGGGTTGTATATGCCGAAGACTTGATTTTCAAGCCTTGTTCTCCTGTGATGTTTCTGAACTCGATCCCATCAACGATAGCCTTCGGTCATGGGGCCGAAGGCACCCCCTTGCATATTGTGGGCTGCTTAGAGCTTCATTTTGCTAGGCTTGACCTGTTTGGGCCTGTTGGGCCTGATTGCAGTAGTGGAAGTATGTGAGCCGGGGGTCCATGGGCCATATACTCCATCACATTCCTTTCATTGAAAGATCGATGTACATGTTCACGAATCTATGATGTGGTACATCCCTTAATAAAAGGGAAAGATTCAAATAAGCCCTTGTATTATTTCCACACCCTCTACTTTACAAAATGAATCGATTTGACCATTTAATTAGCTTTTGACTTGTAATAGCAGGTTTTTAATATTTAAAAATTCTAAAAAATTGTAAAAATTTGAAAAAATATATACAAAAATTATGAAAATTTTCAAAATATCAAAGTCTATATTTTTAAATTTTTAAAAATATTTGTATATTCAACATCTATTTAAAAGGTTTTTAAAGTTTTTTTCTTGTTTTATTATCACAATATTTTTTCACTTTTATAATTTTTTTATTTTTTTTAATTTAATATTTTTAAAATTTTATCTATTTTTATATTTGTACTGTATTTATTCAAATTTATATGAATTTTTGTAAGATTTATCAATATTCTTAATTTAATATTTTTTTTAAAAAAACCTGCTATGCAGGTCAAAGAGCTTGGTTGATTGTATTTTAAAAGTAGACGTACTTATATGATACGTAGTACTTATTTTAATACGGGGCTTAAGTGACGGATTAAAAATAGTAGAAGAGTTTATTTAACTTTTTTTCCTTAATAAAATGATTTCCAAAATGAAAAAGTACATCTTCATGAGTTTATATGAAATGATGTATCCCTTCATAATGGTCATCTATGTATGCTCTAAATGAGACATGAAGGATTCAATTTCTAAACAGATAGACCCGAAACATGAATTATGCATATAAAGTGCTCTAATTTAAACAACTTGTAGATAACTTTACATTGTTCTTTACAAGAATATCTTTACTCATCAATATTGCCAATCAATCAAAATTGATTATTCATGCTTCGCTAAAGGGTTGATAAGAAGCATTCCGTAAAAATGAACTTGGAAGAAACTACCCGATTATATTCAAGAGTTAATGACCCATATAGGACTGAAATCAGTTTCATGTGCACAAATAGGACTTGAAACGTGAGTGATGTTTCCTAGGACTTAAAAGGGTCTGCTTTACCAATTTTATCCTTGAAGCATAATTAATTAGTTTTTAATTAATTAGTTTAGACGGCAGTTTCCGAAAAAAAGGCAAACATCGTGCAATGTTCAACCCCCGATTTAACCCCTCCCTAGTGCCACCATCCATCGCCGCCGAGTGGTGTAGCCCAACCAGCATTGCAATTTGTCGTTGTCACCATCCTCCGCCATCTCTGGTGCACCACCACCCCACCTTCGAGCACCGCCGCCGTCATCACAGCTTTGACGCCATACATCTGCCATTACGTCGGAAGATTTAACTTTCAAGAGTATTTGAAATCTGCCATCAATAAGGTTTTTCATATTTGCCATAAAGTTGGCAGATTTATCTTGGAGTTTTACACGAAACTGTCATAAATTTGGCAAAAAATGAAGTCAATAACCAAAAATTCAAAAAAAAAAAAAAGAAATAAGCACCATAACATAATCGAAAATTAAATATACGAGGCGAATGACAAAAATTTAGCAAAATCGATTTACACAAAAGCGTTTTTGCCATTATATGGGTGTTGGTGTACACATTCCTGCCATAAACTTGGCAAAATCTGAAACCATCATCCAGACTTTTGGATAATTAGAACTTTTTAAAAAACTAAGAAATCTGAAACAAAAAGTCAGAAAATACAAAAAAAATCCTAAAATTCGTAAAATCAGTGTCAAAACCCAGGAAAACGTAACAATATGAGGAAAACTAGAAAAATCAGCGGCAAATCTCATTTAAATAGAGGAATAGGAGAAGAAGGAGGGGAAGGAGGAAGAGATCGGAGAAGAGGAAGAAGAAGAAGAGAAGGAGAAGAAGAAGAAGAGAGGAAGAAGAAGACGATGAAGAGAGGAAACCTGTGACGGCGTGTGGCGAAGTCTGTAGTGTCGACAGCGGCTTGAGGCGGGAGAGAGGGCGGTGGCTGCGATGCACGAAGAGAAGTTGTAGGGGAGAACCGGAGAAGTGGATCTATTCCTACGCACAGGGAGAAACCTAAATGATCGTGCAAGGAGAGAGAATAGGATAGAAATTAAGGAATTTTAGGAATTAATTAAAAGAAGGGTATTAAGGGTATGAAATTTTATTATGTTTTTACATAGGACTAATATAGTCCTATTTAAAGAATAAAAAAATTAAGGTCCTATTAGTGAATTTACATTATGTTTTAGTCCTACTTAGGACAATTACTTTATATTCAATGGTTGTATATAATCTTTAATGTTTTAAGAAATTGTCTTAAATAAGAATAAAACATTTCCAATTTTAAAAGAGAAAAGGGTCAAATAAGGTCTTCTACAATTATGAAATAGTCACATAAGGTCATGTACTTAATAAAGTGTCATATAAGTACATCTTCTTGTAAAAATCAATCAAATGAGTCCTAATGACCTATTTAACACCTCTTAATCCCGGTTTCAACGTACTTCTGACCATCTTTTTAGAATACATTATACGACATATGTCGAATATTTAACTAATATTGGTTGAAATACAAGTCAAAAAATCGACATGTAAGCTAAAATCGGGATTAGGAAGTGTTAAATAAGCCGTTAGGACTCGTTTGATTGTTTTATACAAGTAGATGTACTTATATGACACTTTATTGAGTGTGTGGTCTTACGTGACTATTTCATAATAGTAGAATACCTTATTTGACCCTTTTCTCATTTTAAAAAGCAAAGAAATTAATTTGAATAAGATAAAATTATTAAGGAGCTTCTTTTGAACTTGATGACTTAAATCTCTTACAACATTATTCATCACCTTAAATCTAAATAGAGAATTCCAAGATAACTATATAGTATATACCTTAAAGATAATAGAAAATTCCTTAAATATAACTAGAACATAAGCAGAGTTCAAAAATATGATCTTATCCCTAAAATAAGACATATTCACTCCTGAATCCTGATCGGAAAGTTTGATCAAGAGCACTATTAATATTTGGGTAATTAAACATAAGTACTCCTTCCGTCCTTCGTATGCATTTGTCTATGTTTTAGACCAATTAGGAGGAATTTCTTTAAAGAGAATCCCCTGAATGAGTGCTCGAAACTTGCAAATTCTAGAATGGATTATCCGGTATGTTTCTTGCTTGTTACTACACGAATTAACTGTTGATTTTGAGCAAAAAATCAAACAATTTGTCTGATATCTCTCTTCTTTCACCTTCTATAGGATAGGTTTAAAATTGCAAGTCTAATGGAGTAAATGTTGTACCAATATAATCTCAACGTGATGATTCTTGGGCAGGTGAGCCAGTCAAGATTTTTGAAGATTGCTGGCACTATAAATAAAAATGATAATTACATCAACAAAAACTGGAGCATACTAACTGGTGCACCAATCTTTAATCAGTTTGATGAAAATTTGCACGCAGGCCTGGTGTGGATCAAGGAAGTTGCCAACATTAGAGCTTCCATCAACTAATCAGTGAAACCAATATTCAGTAAACAGTCAGTTCCACACCATATTATTGTAGATTACAGCAACAATGCAACAGAATCTGCATGATTGTATCCAAGTAGATTATATTAGCAGAATCAGTTCACTGATGAAAGACCAATCTTGAAGCCTTAAAATACAACTTTCAACTATCCGCAATCTCTATGGAGGAAAAACTATGCAGCTTTACAGTAAACGACTTATAGAAAAACTGCTAATATAAACGACTTATCGGGATGGGGGAGGGTTGTAACTTATAAGAGGTGATATCCAGTCTCCTGCTGCCTTATCAATTCATGGAACTTCTCATCAGTGGCCTTGAGCATCAGCCCCAAAGGAATCTGAACTCCCCTCTCCACAATCTCAATGGAGGAATAAATATGCATCTTTACAGTAAACGACTTATAGGGATGAGGAAGGGTTATAATTTATAAGAGGTGATATCCAGTCTCCTGCTGCCTTATCAATTCATAGAAATTCTCATCACTGGCCTTGAGCATCAGCCCCAAAGGAATCTGAACTCCCCTCTCCACAATCTCCATGTGCCGCTTCTTAATCCTCTTCTCCAAGCTGAAGGAGAAGTACTGAGGAAAATCCTTCAACTCCTCCAACTCACCCATCATCTCATTCACAAAGTAGTCAAACTTGGGCTTATAGTTGTTCTCAATGCTGAAAGTCAACAGCCCAGGGCACCTCAGCACCATCCCCGCCGCATCACTTGTTGAAAACCCCAAACTGACCAAATAGTTGAGCTTAGGGATGAGAGTGTTCTGCACACTGGAAACCAAGAGGATGGGGTCTTGAATAGCCAAAGCACGAAAATCTTTAAACCCTAGTTTCTTGAGGAAGAAAAGAGCTGGCTTTAGCCGGTCACTCACGCTTGCACGGAGCAATCTTGGACACTTGTTGATCACTTTCCTGAAGTCGCTTTGTGGGACTTGCAGGTCATGGGAGAGGAAGTCAAATACTGGGGCGAGGTCAGATTTGATGTCTGAAGTTAGGAGCTTGGGGCACATCCCGAAGATTTTTCTGAAGTCCTTTTGGTGGATGCCTTTGGACTGCAAGAAAGTGAGGATGCAATGGAGGGAGTAGAGTGAAGCTGTGTGGAGGGAAGGGTTTTGGGAGAGGGCTTTACCAGAGTCAATGCCCATGACTTCTAGGCACAAGATCTTTTCTTTGAATTCGAGGGAGATGTTGCTGTGAATGGGTTGGTAGAGTGGGTTTTCATGGAGCAGAGTTTTGGGTTTTGATGCTATTGATAGGTGGTTGGGTAACTGCTGCTCTGATGAGCTAGAAGAAGAAAAGGAGCAGGATGGTTTGTGAGGAGAGAAGCACATGGTGGCGGTGGGATTGAAAACTGCGGCGGCGAATGGCGGTGACATTTTGGGTTCAGAGATGGAGTGGATAGCAACGCAATGAGTCTTTTCTTGCCACATCTATTTTCTGTCATTTTATCTTATCTCAGATGACACTTGGCATCTTGGTTGCCAGCAGCACATACTCCCTCCATCCTTAAAAAAACTTCCATAATACAAACGAAGATAAATGTGTAAGAATTGTTCTTAACAACAAATTTTTTATTAAAAAAGGAAAATGAAAGTTTATTTTGGGACACTCAAAAAAAGAAATTTGGAAATATTTTCATAGAAACATGGACTAAATGAATTTGGAGATTAGGTGAGGCCATGAGAGTAAGAATGTGACCAGGGAGCAAAAACTTGGAATGAAACTAAAATGTTCGGTCCGTTCTTAAGCCCTCACGGTCACAAATGACTCATCCTTTTGTGAGAATGATTCGCTCCAAAGTGAATATTTTGACGCCCAAATCTCGATTGATGAGTCGTTCTTTCTGGTTTTTGAAAATAAAGCTTCATTAAATTATAGATCAGAACTATCGTTCAAGAGAAGATCGTGGATATTAAATCAAGAACCGTCCGACTCTTGAATAGCTTGCTTAGGAGTAGAACATATCAAATATTCAAAAGTAGGACTCATATCTCACATATAGTTTGCTACACAGAAATTAATAGTAAAGGATAAGAATGCCCTTAATGAATACTTCAATTTATTTAGTAAAAATACAAAATAAAATAATAAACTAAATGCATTACGCAACCGCGTGTTTTTCTTTCATGCCCACCGCAACCACAAGTTGCCGCCGGCACCATCCAGAGAGCATGACCTACACCAGTCACCGCCGGATTCCACCGCCGGATGCTTCCGGATTAATCTCCATCGCTACCGCCCTTTTCCCTGGCATCGCAGCTGTCAGCAGCCTCCGCCACTAGTCGCCGGCCGTCGTTGGTTAGTCATCGACGCCTCCATCTACGTCACTTCCTCAGCTGCCGTCGTTGGATCCCATGCCACTGCTTCCTTGTTTGGTGCCTCACCTCCTGTAGCACCACCACCATGTTTGGCTCCAACATCTCACTTTTTGGAAATCATTTTTAATAAGATTTACATAATAAAAAAGAGGATATGAATGTTAGTGTCATTTTGACACTTTATTATTGGCATTACAAATGTAAGATTTGTAGGGGAAATATTATTGTAACTACATAGTTAGAGCCATATAAATGACACTATGTGCAAAAATTATAGTTTTATATATGAAAAAATATGGCATTATTGGTATTGTTTTTGCCATATTAAAGGAGTTAGTGCCATAAACATGGCAATAAATTTTGAAATAATATGTTCACATAGAAAAACATGACAATATTTGCCAAGGAGTAATATTTTCATTTTAATGTCATAAAGTTAAAAGAAATTATGGCAATTTGGAGTTCAAATCATAAAATTAATATGAGAATTAAAAAAATGATTGAAATGAAAGTAAAAAATTATTAAATTAATGTAAAGATAAAATAAAATTGTTAAAATAACAAAAAGGTGAAGAATAATTGAAAGAGAATTAAAAAGGGAGAAGAACTCATAGTGGCAGCTTCATATTCAAACCAAAAATCAATCTCCAAATTACAAAAATATTGATTTAAATCCAATGTAAAAAGTTGCAATTTGTATTGTAAAATTTAAATAAAATGTCAAAAGAACAAGAGATGAAACAAAATTGAAAAAAAAATAGAAAAATCAAAAAAGAAATCAACAAAAACAGATCTGGAGAGAGAGGAGAAAGTGGAAGAAAAATCAAATTAAAAAAGGGGTTGTCATCATTTTGGTTGTCTCACAACACTGCATGAGCAACTTCAAGCCGCAAAAAATAAGGTTATGTCGCCGACCAAAATAAAAGAAGGGAGAAGAAAGAGAAGATAAAGGAGATGAAGAGATGATGGAAGAAAAGAGAACAAGATCAAAACTTATTATGATGATTACCTCCATCCGTCGGTGACCGAAGTTGGTGAAAAAAATCAACAATTGATCGATGAAATGTAGATAGCAGATTTGCCGCCGGAGATGGATGGAGAGTTTTTGCTTTACCTTTGAAATCAATGGGAAATAGAATTTTTTTAGATGTGCGGAGAGAGGAGAGATAAATAAATGATTAATAGAGATGAAGAAATTTGAAGAGATAAGAATTGAAAGACGGTGGAATTCGAAGAGATAAGAAAGGAGAGATGCTTTGATTCGTGAGTGTGTGACAGCTATTGAAGGAAGAGAAATAATTAAATGGGGAGGGTAAATCTGGAATAAATTAATTTAGGGAACGGACAGTCAACACAAAAACTCTGATTTAAGGAATAAATCAATACATACTCCTACTTTGGAACTTCTTTATTGTTTTACTCCTATCTAGGGTAATATCTTAACTTTATTTTATGGCACGAACAGAGTGGTGGAGTGCAATGTTCAATTCGGAAGAAAATGAGGCATGGGCTCTTAGACAGGCCATGACCTGAATGATTACCAAGCGGTATTCAAGAATCAAGAGTCATTTTTGAGTCGGATTGCAAACAACTTGTGGATGACTCGTGTATTCAATCAAGTCAATTAAAATCCCATATGACCAAATCAAATTATAATTCTTGATACATCTTAGTGTATGTTTTATTTTCTTTTTATTTCAACCACACTTAGACACTTAGTTGATTTGGAGCATAATTTGTTTTAGTTAGATTATGGATGGACTCGGGCCGGGTGGCCCGACCCGGAACCGGCCCGGGACCGGTACTGTTCCGGCCCGGCCCGGCCCGACCCGATGGCCCGGTCAGTGACCGGTCCGGGTAGGCCCGACCCGTTGGTTTTCCGGTCTGGGCTCGGGTCACCCAAAACAAGGCCCGACCCGACCGGGCCCGAGCCTGGTTCAGGCCAAAACTTTTTTTTTTCAATTTTATTAAATTTTCGGGTTGGGCTGGGTATTTTGGGCCATTTGGGGTGGGGTGATTTGGGGGTTGGGGGTGGGAGGGGGGTTAATTAGGAAGAGGGAAAAAAATTGATAATGGGCCCGGCCCGGACCCAGACCTGATGGTTACCCGGGCCGGTCCCGGGTCCATCACTTCTGAACCGCCGGCCCGCCCGGGCCTAGGCCCGACCCGGACCCGGGCCAAACCCGAGTCCATCCCTAAGTTAGATAATCATTCATGTGTTTCGCAACTAGCGATTGACTAATCGATTATATCAAGGAATTGATACTAACAAATTATATTAGTTGTTTCAAATAGCTGCTAAAATTAACAGATCAAAGAAAAATATTTTATAATACTAGTAACTGTTTATGATTAATTGTTAAGATGTCCAATAACTGTTAAGTATGTACTCCCTCCGTTTCAAAATGAAAGTCACACTTTCATTTCACAAACATTCATTCATAGTTGGATTTCTGACTAAAATACGCTTTTACAGTTTTGGCAAACTAGTTTAGGTTCAACTTATAATTTCTATGGTTGGGATTATTTTTAGTCCCCAATAGCCAAGCCAGCAATATTTAAAACTATTTTCCTCATGCAAAACAGAATGTTTGATGCCACGTATTATACTACAAATATGTTTCACAGAGAATGTTCCATAACACTATATATTATGGAATGTTTTTGTGAGAACCCTTCTTCCTGTGAATATAATACAACATATTTCACAATTAGGCAGCTGCATCTATTAACCCGGGAAATAAAAACACTCCTTCCCCAGCATGTTCTAAATGAGTTGAAATTTACCCAGTTTCACTTGTAGTCATCAATAATCAGGATGGGGGGGGGGGGGGGGGGGGGGGGGGGATTTCAAGAGAACCAAAGAAAAAAGGTGTATCTGAGACAATTCAGCACAACACATTTGTTCTACAAGTGCAGGCATCAACCAATTTAAGCTGAACTACTGCTTGTACCTGCACAAGAATGGGCAAAAAAGAGCTGGGTATTACTCACATATTATGCTGAAGATGAAAATGACCCCTTCTAGCTAACAAATGATCTAATTGTGCACTATTTGCCTTCTATGTAACTTCATTGGCCTTATTCTGAATTCACCATATAATTCTTGCTAGCGAACTCAACTAGAGCAGCAACCATACTACTATTACATCAGAAAAACAACAGAATCATGTACTAACCAACTTCTGTTGTTGCTTCCTCTGTTCTCCAGATGACGTCTTTCAACCCCGTTGCGAGGTTCTTATAGAACTGAGGGAGACCACATAAGAAAAGGTGCAAATCAAAACCATAATAACTTTATCCAGTAAAACAAATCTTGACATATATAAACACACACACACATATACCATCACACACACATAATAAACGACAATAAAATGGGCTCGACATATTTAAAAGTTGAACATCAAGTACAACACATAAGCTATACTACACCTTGTGAAATTCCAAGGTATCTCCTCCAGCCTTGCGAAGCTCTACTATGTGAAGAAAAGGGGTAACTTCAAGAATCTGTGTTGCATTAGCATTGATTGAGTGTCTAAATATCATTACTATTGTTGTTCTCTGCACAAACTACTTAGTATTGCATTACCTCTGTTGCAATGGATAAATGACCTTTGCGCCCAGTCTTCTCCCCATGAAGCTTTAGCTGGTAAAGAGACCGGAGATTCATTAACAATTAAAACTGCAAACTAACTTTATCAAGAACAATCCTACCTTATGTTATTTGTACTACTTAAATATAAGCTCTTCCCAAGCAAAAGTTGCAAACCACAGAAAAAATGGGCCAGGCAAAAGATGACCATAACAAGCACTGAACTTGAATAAGCAAGTAATGATTGTGTTTGTTCATTTATTTATGTATTTTAATACACGTTTATGAATTGTTCACGAACATTACTTGTTCATGAACAAACATTCAAATATGTTTCTAAACTAATATGAATAAAGGAGCCAGTTACAAAGCATATTTTTCAGTTATATTGACTTCAATTCTCAAATTATAAAATATTAGTTAATGAACAACTGCAGACTTATACTCCGTAAAAAATATTAATACTGTTATAAAAAGAATGAACTTGTTCACAAACGTGTTCAAGAACAAAAACATGTGTGTTTATACTCCTTTAATTAATTAAATGCAGGTGACAAGAATCAAGCTTGTTTATGAGGTGTTAACCAAATGCTGTGTTCGTTTATACCTCTCTATGAGAGCAAACGGATTTTATGTGTGAGAGAAATCCATGAAGATGAATGTAAACTTTTACAGTACAGCCATAGAGTTGCCAAAATATGCATAATAGTGAAGTCAATAAGGTAAGAGTGGCATTAGATGGTACATACGATATGACAGCAAAATCTATGGAGAACACTACAATTGGTAGGTTAACACTTGACAGAAAGTGGATTTGAGGGGTTCAATAATCCAATACTTTGAAATAGAAAAACGCTAAGAATATGAAGTGGGAGAGCGGCGAGGTGCTTATTCACCGTGTGCTTATTTTTCTTCAACTTGTGCTTATTAAATTGGTAGGTTAGCAAAAAATGGATTACAGGGTTCAATAATCCAATAAGAACTTTGAAATAGAAAAACATTCAGACTGAAGTGAGAGAGACAATATGCTTATTCACCTTGTGATTATTTTTCTTCACATTGAAACCCAAAGGCACTGCAGTTTCTTCAATTTTTGAAATTATCTCTGCAGCAGGACGTTTCGAAGTAAATCTTGTTTCCCTTTTGACAAGACCCTGTTTGAAATATATATAAGGTCAATCGAAAGCTGAAAAGATGGAAAGTGAAGTATATAAGGGTTTCAAGTTCAAGGAGTCCTCTTGTTCATTATGTGGCCCCCTTTTGTTTGAAGGTAGGGAGGTTTACGTTTTTCAATAAAAAACTCCATCATGCTCATAAAGACATTCTCATACTGGCTACAGTAACTCTAGAGAACTGAAAATGATGTTTGACACTAAAAATGACCCATTGTGGATGTAAATATTAAAAACTCTATCAATGTATTAACCACATGAGTAGAAAACTGCATATGATGTTTTTCCAAGAAAACAACTCTTCAACATATTCATGTAGACCACAGACTATTAGAACACACAGAATTAAAATAATTTTAGAAAACTGCAAATAATGTTTCAGGCTAATGAATGTATGACCATCATGAATATAAAAATATTACTCCCTCCGTCCCTATATAAAAGTATCCATTCATTTTACACACATCTTAAGAAAGTGGGTTTGGTTGGTACTGTTTGGCACTGTTTGGACACTGTTTGGCACTGTTTTGCACTGTTTTGCACTGTTTTGCACTGTTTTGTTTGCCAAAAAAGGAAAGGGAACTTTTATTTAGGGACGGCTCGAAAAGGAAACAGATGCTTTTATTTAGGGACGGAGGGAGTAATATAAATACAATAATAGCCATCATTTTTTTAACCATGAGTAGAAAACCTACTATACTAATTAACCAAATAAAAAAGAGTTAAAAGTAGCAACAATGAGAGGTCCCTCCTAAATTTTACAAATAAACATCTACTAGTAGCAGGCTGCAAATCAGCAAAGCTAGGAATGTTCCATTAATTTTCGCAAACAAATCCCCTGATCTTATTTATCTATCCACTTTGGAAGTTTAATGTGGTTCATTTTTTATAGGACTCTGGGCAGATTAGGACTGATAATAATTATGAGAATAATAATATTAGAAGAGTTAGTATAAATAGATGATGAGAGTAGAATAGAAAGGAGGTTGGAATTGTTATTTGGGCTTGGGACTGGGACTGCCTTTGTATTTCTCTCTCTATTTTCTGTTATACGAAGCTTTCTATTGTTACGCCCCTCTTTTCTTCATCGCTAGTTTCTTGAATCACGGTGATTTGGTATCCTAACAAAGATTGAATAATTTTAGTTCTTTAAATATGTTGACTATTGGGAGAGAGGTTCCTCTTGTGGTTCAGTCAATCATCTGGGTGCTGGAATCTGGTGCTGAAAACATGAGTTGCTATTCGTTGAACATCTACCACGACCTACAGGTGTCAACAACACTTCCTAATGATTACTTGGTGAAGAATTTTACCTCTGCTGTTTTAAGGCTGAATCCAAAGGCTTTGTTTGATGGCTTGAGCTTTCGGTCCTCTTTTTGTAAAGGAAATGCTACATCTTACTCAGGAGATTGGGGAGATAATAAGGCATTCCACGGGAGTGGATATTGCTATGTGCTGGTGGGCAGTGATCAATGTATCTTAAGAGTTTCAAATTCGGAAGAAGTATCAACTCTGACTCAAGACTCTTCAATGCCACTGACCAAGCTTCGGAAAGATGGTGATCTAGAAAGAAACAGATCAAAGTCCGATGTTCCAAGCAATGAAAACGATATAGAGAAGGGTCTGGGAGTTGATAAACAACCAGGAAGACTCTGGGAAGTAGGAATAATCTTCCAAGGTGATGATAGCAATGAGAGGCAGGCTTTACTTGGAGGGAGTGCTGATCCTAAAAGGCAGAACTTGAAGATGAAGGTTCAAGGATTGAAGCTACAAGTCCAGAAGTCAGTGAGGTACTGGGAAGGGAGAGGCGCCAGGATGAAGATAAAGTTGAAGGTTAAGTCGGTTTCCTATCACCCACCTTAAGGACAAGGTCGTTGTTCAAGGAGGGAGATATGATAGGACTCTGGGCAGATTAGGACTGATAATAATAATAATGAGAATAATAATAATATTAGAAGAGTTAGTATAAATAGATGATGAGGGTAGAATAGAAAGGAGGTTGGAATTGTTATTTGGGCTTGGGATTGGGACTGCCTTTGTATTTCTCACTCTACTTTCTGTTATACGAAGCTTTCTGTTGTTACGCCCCTCTTTTCTTCATCGCTAGTTTCTTGAATCACGGTGATTAGGTCTGAATCCTAACAATTTTATATGTCTATGGAGTACGGACCATTAATTAATTTTTTGGGTTTACCTTTAAAAGAGTTAATATAGAAGTATATTTATTAGAAAGAAAAAAGGGAACTAGAACCATATCATATTATATTATAAGTAAGAGAATCCCTTTAAATATTGGTAAATTAGATATTTTACTGATTGAAAAATTTGTGGAAATGATTCAGATACACTATACCGATAAATATGACCAAAGAGAATAATTTAACAAAAGTAAAGGAGCAATTGGTTTGAAACTTGTATCATTTATTCATTATGTTCTAAATAATAAGTTTTCAGAAAACATACCACTTGCTTTTCGAAGAGAGAACTAAGATTGAGACCCTGAGATCTAGAAATTAGCTCGAAAGCATTCATAGCAAGTGGTGCAGGAGGCAGCTCTTCCCGTCTCTCCACAACTAGCTTAGGAGAGTCCTTTCAGAAGAAAGTTATTTACCACGAGTAAGTCTCTAATGGATCATTATTTTAAAACACTTCAGAACCTATAAAAAGAATTTTTTAAAAATTTAGACGAATGACATAAATGCTGAAATTCTTACAACTGATTCATCAAAGATGGCATTGACATCATCGAGATTAACGTCTTCCTGTTCGAAGACTGGTGGCTGATAACCTTTCTTAAACCAGTCATTCTCGATTACCTCAGCAATTGTAATTCTCTGTTTTATTATAGAAAACCGTTCAGTTTCAGGTAGTAATATTTACTGAAGTGTGTAGCTATAATGAACTATAATCTGTCCAAATTGAGATGAGAATATGCTTTATGAATTTACAAATCTATAGATTGAGATACGTGGAGAGAAGACACATACAATCATGCACATACATCTCTAAAAATTTCTCCTTTCCAAAATGATGGAAAATATAAATATACCGTATGAGGATTGGGATCCATGATTCTATTGATTAATTTCCTTGCACTTGAGGAGAACCATGGTGGACATGTGAACTCAGCTTTGTGTATCTACAAAAGAAATAATAAGTTGCATAATAGAAATAGGTGATGATGTAAACCTTAAAGTTGAATTATAAAGAAAGTGAAACACTGAATCCAAAGGCAGTTACACAAAGCCAGTGAGCATATTTGTTCATTATATGTTGGCCAATGACTTTGCATAATATTATATGTCGAGAGAGACAGTGTTATCATTCAGTGTTAGATAAATAAATAAAATAGATACTTGAAAAGAAAATTGGAAATAAATACTCCCTCCATTCACTTTTAGTTGCTCTTGTAATTGTTTCACAGAATCAAGGAAATGAGGAACAAAGTTGTAGACTTGTAGGGGTAGTGAATAGGGTAGAAAAACGGAGGGAGAAGGTAAACAACAACAACAACAACAACAACATCCAAGTCTTAGTCCCAAAAGATATTGGGGTCGGCTAACATGAATCGATACATGATATCACAACCAAAAGGAAAAGAAGGAATAAAGATAAAAAGATAAGCTATTATGAAAAGATAATATAAAAAAAGATGAATATATATAAAAATGATAGAATAAAAAGGCTGCAAATAATGCTTATATATATAAGGATAAAAAAAACTAGGAAAAAAAAGATGAGGGAAAAAGATTATCAAGATCACTCCTTCACGTGAATACCCGCCCTCCACTTAGTTCTCTCCAAAGTCATGCCATCATCCAACCCCAGAAGAAGCATATCACTTCGAACTCCCCTAACCCACGTCTGTTTGGGTCTTCCTCTCCCTCTCTTCCCTGCCTCTTCTCCACACATCTCAACTCGCCTAACAGGTGCATCACTCGGTCTTCTACGCACATGACCAAACCACCGTAGGCGCGACTCCCGCATCTTGTCTTCAATAGGTGCTACTCCCACCCTTTGTCTGATTGTCTCATTCCTCACGCGGTCCTTCCTAGTATGCCCACACATCCAACGCAGCATGCGCATCTCTGCCACACTCATCTTTTGAATGTGACATTGTTTCACCGCCCAACACTCTACGTCATACAGTAATGCAGGCCTAATTGCTGTCCTATAAAATTTACCCTTCAATCTAGTCGGCATACCTCGATCGCATAGAAATCCTGACGCACTCTTCCACTTCATCCACCCTGTTCTGATTCTATGGGATACATCTCCGTCTAACTCACCGTCCTTCTGAATTATGGAACCCAAGTAACGGAACATATCGCTGACTGGTATCTCCTTACCATCCAGAGTAATTCCGCTATTACCACTACTTCTACCTCCACCAAACTTGCACTCCATGTACTCTGTCTTGCTCCGACTTAGTTTGAAACTCTTATTCTTCAATGTTTGTCGCCATACTTCCAACTTTGCTTTAAGACCTGATTGCGTCTCATCAATCAATACAATATCGTCGGCAAACATCATGCACCACGGTATATCGTCTTGAATTGACTTCGTAAGTTCATCCATGACTATGGCAAATAAGAAAGGACTCAAGGCCGATCCTTGGTGCACTCCGATAGTAATAGGGAACTCTTCAGTCCTCCCTACACTAGTACGAACACTTGTAGTACAATCCTCATACATATCCATGATGATGCTGATATACTTGCATGATATGCCTTTCCTAGTTAAGGCCCACCAAAGAACTTCTCGAGGTACCCTATCATATGCCTTTTCTAAGTTAATGAACACCAAACGCAGATCCTTATGAGCATCTCTATACTTCTCCATAAGTTGCCGAAGAAGGTGAATGGCCTCAGTTGTTGAGCGACCAGGCATAAAATCGAATTGATTCTCTGAAATCATCACAGTCCTTCGAAGTCTTTTCTCAATCACTCGCGCCCAAAATTTCATGGTGTGACTCATAAGCTTAATCCCTCGATAGTTGGCACATTCTTGTACATCACCTTTATTCTTAAATAAGGGGATAAGAGTACTCTTCCTCCAACTCGTTGGCATCTTGTTTTTTCTCCAAATCATGTTGAAGAAACTTGTTAACCACTCGAAGCCTCTCTCTCCCAAACTTCTCCAAGCCTCGATCGGTATGCCATCTGGCCCCATTGCTCTTTTCCGTCCCATCTTCCTCAGAGCTTCTTTAACTTCCGTTGTTTGGATCCTTCTCACAAAATCACGGTTTACCATACAATCTGGTATGGACAAATCGCCGATATCTTGCGTTTTGTTCCCGTTTAATAGTGTATCAAAGTATGACCTCCACCTCTCTTTTATCTCTCCGTCGTCCATTAATATCCTCTGATCAACATCCTTCACACACTTAACTTTTGCAATATCTTGAGTTCTGCGATCACGAAGACGAGCAAGTCTATAAATATCTAGTTCTCCTTCCTTAGAGTCCATCTTTTCATACAACTCCTTGTTCACTTTCCCTCGTGCTTCCCTTACGACTTTCTTTTTTTGTCTTTTAGCCTCCCTGTATGCTTCTATGTTCTCATCACTCCAATTTGTCCCCAACTTTTTGTAGCAATCTCTTTTGTTCCTTATGGCTTGTTTCACCTCATCATTCCACCAAGATGTGTCCTTTTTAGGTGGCTGACATCCTTTAGATTCTCCAAGTACCTCCTTTGCCACTTTGTTAATGGTCAACTCCATTGATAACCACACATCATCCACATGTGTTTCATTATCAATACGCCATACATCTTCACCGACCATTTTGTGTGTAAAGCTTTGTTGAAGATCTCCCTCAAGCCTCCACCACTTTATCTTTGGCTCCACTTGTTGTTTAACTTGTCTTCTATGTTTCTTACCTCGAAAGTCAAGCACAAGCATCCTATGCTGGGTGACAACACTCTCACCTGGAATAACCTTACAATCAGTGTAGCTAGTTCTCCAAGTGGTCCGTACTAAGAAGTAGTCAATTTGGGTACTATTAGCTCCACTTTTATTGGTTACAAGGTGAGAGTCTCTTTTCTTAAACCAAGTGTTCATTATAGCCAACTCATACGTCAAGGCAAAATCCAAAATGTTCTTTCCCGCCTCATTCCTAGTGTCAAAACCCTGTCCGCCATGAATATTCTCAAAGCCATCACGACTCGAGCCCACATGCCCGTTGAGGTCACCTCCTATGATCAACTTCTCCCCTTGGCACTCGTCGCACCACGTCTTCATGATCTTCCCAAAACTGTTGAGTTGTAGATGCATCCAATCCCACTTGTGGTGCATAGGCACTTACCACAGACACAATCTCACCTTTTATCACCAATTTAATGCTCATGATGCGATCGTCTTCCTGAAGACTTCTACCACATCCTCAACATAGTCACGCGCCACAATAATGCCTACCCCATTTCTAGTCTTATCTCTCCCCGAATACCACAACTTAAAACCTCCGGGATTAATCTCGCGTGCTTTCTCTCCAACCCATTTAGTTTCTTGCACACACATAATGCTGATATTCCTTCTGCTCATAACCTCGACTACCTCGGAAGATTTGCCTGTAAGAGACCCAACATTCCATGTCCCAAAACGCAATCTAGCATTCCACCTTCTATTCTTAGCCCCATCTCGGACCCCACCATGCCCTTGCATATTTGACATCATCCCCGGGCAACGGGATGACGCGCCGCTTCTGGGCGGCGACCTAGCAACCTTAGCATTCTTATCACCACACCCAGGTCTATCAAGTGTAGCGCGCCCTTGCATATTTGACACCACCCCCAGGCGGAGGGATGACGCGTCACTTACGGGTGACGACCTAGCATTAGTGATATTCATATTTCGATTCATGTCATGTGATGTGACTAGGTGATACTGTTGGCCGTCACACGCCTACCACAGCACCCTCCTCCTTTATCCTGGCTTGGGACAGGCATGATACCAAAAAAAATGATATCATGGTGGAGTTGGAGGGAGAAGGTGAAAAGTAGGAAAAAATGGAAAGAGAAGATGAAAAGGCATGGGTACTTGTGTATTTTGGGGATGAAAAGCAGGGCTATTTATGTCTTCAAGAGATAAACTTCAATAAAAGAATATGGAGCAAGTGAAGGAGAGGAGAGGGTATATTAAACTAAATGGCGCTGAGGAATTAAAATAAACAAAGTGTGTTTAGGGAAAAAGGAAACTAATAATCCAACCTTTTAGCGGTCTTGTTACAATAGTCCCACCTTTTGATTATTCAGGAATAATCCAACCTTGCACCCCATCTTCATTCAATAGTCCCTGACCGGTTTATAACCTGCTATTCCAAATTATTTTCTTATCTTTGCAATATATTATACCATAAATTTCACCTCATGGTCACATAATGTTTTGCAAAGATAAAAAAATAACTTGGGATAGCAGGTCATCAACCGGTCAGGGACCATTGAATGAAGATGGGGTGCAAAGGTTGGATTATTCCTGAATAATCAAAAGGTGGGACTATTGTAAGAAGACCGCTAAAAGGTTGGATTATTAGTTTCCATTTTCCCTAGTGTTTATTGATATGCCTCACTACTCAATTCATATAGCTTTTGTTTCAAATGAAATTTGATAATCTTAGGTATTTTGAGACATCTCAAGTTTCATGTTTTATAGCATTGCATTCATTAGTCACTAAACATTTTCACAGCCAAGAACTTACCTTTTTGTATAACACTATAAGGCTTGAGTCTTCAAATGGTAAATAACCAGCCATGAGTACATAAAGTATTACACCGCAAGACCAAAGATCAGCCTTAGCTCCATCATAACCCTTGTTGTTGATCACCTTGGTAAGAAAAAAAGCAAAACGCGGGAGATGAAAGCCCATACTTGCTGGAGTGCATGACAATAGATCAATTTAGATATGCAAATAGAAAAAGAAACTCAGCAGTACCTCAGGGGCAACATAATTTGGTGTTCCACATGTAGTATGCAGTAACCCATCTTCCTAATGGACATATGCAAATCAAGCTCAATTTATAAAACCTTAAAAGAAAGCCATGAATCAACTTATAGTAGAATAGTCCCTCCATCTAAAAAAAGAGCTGTTTCAAACATTTTTGTCCCCAGAAAAGTGCTTGAAATTTAAAAAAAAAACAATGTTTTCGTGTAATTTTCCCAAAAAGAGTCACCTGGAAGTTAAATCCTGAGTCTGTTTTCTTAAATTCTGCATATTCCTTTCAAAGAAGATAATTAATGCATTCCCCATTTCCATTTTGGGAAACTACCTCCTTACATTTCCATCTTCTCATTCCTACTTTTTCTGCACATCCATCTACTCTCTCCCATTTCTTTCATTTTTCCTACACTATTCACTACCCCGTTAGTGTTGTTGCGTGGTCGAGAGGTCACAGATTCAAGTCTTACGAGCGGCCTCTTGTCAAATTTGACAGGGGAAGGCTTGCCTCTTATACACCCTTGTGGTTGGATCCTTCCCTAGACCCTCGCCTTGTGAGGAAATCTTGACAAAAATGTGACTATAAGTTGCTATAGGAAAGTTTTATAGTCACTATGATATAAAATTTGAATACAACTAAAATCAATACAAGTTACTCCTTCCGTCCCTTAAAACTTTGCGATCTTTCTTTTTTGAGATGTCCCAAAACAATTTGACACTTTCCTTTTAATCAATTATTTTGTGATTCCTGTTATTTCTCTCTCTCCTCTGCACAAGCCTCAACCACACAGTTTTTACTTTATTACTCTCCGTTCCGGTCAAACTTGGCAAAGTTTTAAGGGAAGGAGGCAAAAGTCCACTACTTTTACTTTTAACTATATATTTGGAATTATTTCTTTTTTTATTCACTACCCACTGTACAATTCTACTCATGGACTTGGTGAAAAATCTATAGGTGCAACTAAAAAATGAAGGGAATATGATAAATGTAGCTAAACCAACCAATAAATAAAAACTATACTCATAGGCATGTTTCACGATTTATGATCGTTGTACCACTTGTACCTCACCAAAATTTGTACATTGGTCAAACATGACATTTTCTGGGAATGGAGGTAGGTACATCGGTATTGATCAAATTTGTAAATCAAAATGTTTATACATCAAACAGTAAATTGACAAGAGGAGTATAACCCACCCGAACTTGTTGGGGAAGTGCACTCAATCCAAAATCAGAGACTTTAAGTACTCCGTTGGAATCCAACAATAAATTTTCTGGCTATGAAACACAGTACACAAGTGTGATCATTAAATCTTCTGGCCCCTAAACATCTACCACATTATATTAAAATTATCGGGACAACAAGGAGAGATTAAAATCATTTTTAGTTTTTACCTTAAGGTCTCTGTGGCACACACCTCTGCTATGGCAGTAATCTACAGCATTAATCAACTGTTGAAAGTATTTCCTCGCTTCATCTTCTTTGAGCCTCCCCTTACTAGCCTGTTCAATAGAACTGCAGCTGGTCAAACAATGTCTTGGTTGCAGTATAGAACAATCACAGAAGTTGCGAGAACAAACCATTCTTACAATTTTGTCAAATAGTTCACCACCAGTAACAAATTCCATAACAATATATATTTTTGACTTGCTTGCCATGACCTGCATTATTTAACACTATAAAATTGCTGAAAGGCTCAAATGTGGAGAATCAAGTAACTCAAGTCCAACTAACTAGCCACTCCTAGTAGCTAGCACGAATAATCATTTTAAGTATAAGGTCAGCTGGAAAATTCTTTTCTTAAAGAGAAAAATACATCCTTCACATTTAGAATTCACATTTATCATGTTGAGGCAAGTCCTTGAAAACAATGTGCGCCCTTTAAATTCTAACCTCAAACATTCGTATGACATTGGGATGCCGAACTAGCTTCATGGTTGAGATCTCACGTTTAATCTGCAATAGAAAAGAAAAATAAATCAGTACTAATTTGTATCATTTAAAAACAAAAACTTTACAATTCATTATTGAAAAACATCAAAATGCATTCAGCAATGTTTAAATAATAATCTAGTTATTCAATGGCTAACTAACAACTACATGTCTGCACATCAGATGGAAGTCAAAGTCTTCATTGAGAAAAAATAAAGGAAATATATGAACCTCTACAGCCACTGAAAACTTGAGCAGAATTCAGAATGTAATATATGTAATGTGTAGCATTAGATTATTTTCTTAAGTAAATATTTTGAAGGATCTAAACCAGCCAGGATCCCATCCCTCAAAGAAAAGCTGAAATATAAGTATAGAACCAAGGTAAGATATGGAAACACGAGCTCACCCTAAATAGCATGAATTAACAAGACCAAATGGCATATCATGACTGAACATTCAAAACATTTTTTAAAAAAAGCGCCACATACAGAACTGTCCTAGAAATACAACACTAGGGAATCAAGCAGATATTTGTATATAGATATCAATATCAATATACATACCTGAGCAACCATCCTGTGTTTAAGAAGCTTCTCTTTGTCAAGAATCTTGATGGCCACATTGTCCCCTGTTTCTAAGTTCCTAGCAAACTTCACCTTTGCAAATGTTCCCTCTCCCAATGTCCTGCCCAACTCATACCTACCCACTCTTGTTCTACCACCCCCACTACTTGTTGAATTTGACGGCATCGCTGAATTTGAAGGCATCATCACAGTTCTTATATAGTTTATAATCCCAGGGTTTATGAAAATCGTTTTGGTGGTTCAAGCCTTGACTCACATGAACTGAATACAAATCCCATCCATTTTTCTTATTATTATTTCTAAAAACACCTCTCTCTTTATTTATACTAAAGCCTCTTCTTTTTACACGGCTGCCACACTTGAGACTTGGCAACATTCATCTCTGCCAATCCAGTACACTTATTCAAACAAGAATGAGAGAAAAATCAAAAAGAGACTCCGGATCAGCGGGTGGCTGGAAAGGTAAGGCAAGAAAGAAGGATGGAGAAACCGAAGGGCGACCCAAGAAGCGAAAAAGAAACCAGCAAAGCCATAAATGCAAGGTATATGGGAATATTCCACGGATTATTAAAGGTAAAATCTAAAGGGGCGTGATTAAAATCCCCTTTTTCTTTTCACACGATACTTGTTGGGATCTGGGTTTCGGCAAGTCAAAAAATCAGGAGATAAGATTGGGGCCTCTTGATACCGACATACCGTGGGTCTGCCGTGTACGATGGAGAAGGGAAGTGGGTGCAACGTGAATTGAGAGAAAGAATATGGGATTTGACGAGAGAGGCGGCGGCAGCTGATGTTGGGGTTTGATAACTACGTGAGAAACATGACATGAAGTCGCTGGCATTCAATCCAGGAAGGTAGGTGACCCCTGGATCCGGGGGCTGCCCGTGTGGCTGGGACAGAAGACTAGAAGAAAGAGGCCAGTAACTGTTTTTGTCCAAAAGTCACTATTGACGTCTTCAATTCAAAGCAATACCCCTTCGGCTGGGATTAACGGTCTGCGGTCGGAACTAGGGATTATTATTCTCACCCTATTCATTTATATTTTTCTTATTTAATCATAATCATATATTTTTACTTTATTCTCACTTTCTTAAACTTTGATCTAAGTCAATTCGTGAACTATTTTATAAGATGGAGGGAGTATTTCACTCTTACTTTTGAATGGAAATTAAATTTCTCATTTTTTCTTTAAACCTTTCCCTTTTACTCATAATATTCTCATTTGCACAAACATCTACCACACAGTTTTCATTTTATTACTTTTTGTAAAGATTAAACTTGACAAAGTTTTAAGAGACGAAGAAAATATTAGAATTTTAGAGAATATTAGATAATTTTGAAATTACACGTCAGGATATATTGGATAAATATCATTTTAATATTGTAGAAAACCAGTTGTTATACCATGGGAGCGGTGCATGCTGAGCATTCTGCTCCCAAGGTTATATCAAATGTAAAACGTGTGATTCCATATGTAACATAAGGTTTATCAAAATGTAAATTATACTCATTCAGATGTAACTCGTTGAAATGTAAATTTCTTTAACTAAAATGTAACTTGAAAGCTTTCATGAGATGTAAATTCCTTTAACTGAAATGTAACTTCAGCCCTTAGAAATGTAAAATGCCTTTACGTACATGTAACTTCCGGCCAAAAATACACAATCAGTATATAGCTACACCTTCAACAACCAGCCCCTGCGACGGACCAAAAAGTTATATACTGATTCAGTATAAGGCCCACCAAAGAACTTCAGTATACGCCCTAAATTACAACTTTTAATTCGATATCGAGAAAATCTTTGAAGTTTGAAAACAAACAAAACTCACTTGAATCATGTTTTTTTAAAATAAATTTGTCCCTCATTTTTTTCTTTGTTAAAATACTTTTAATTTATGTATGAAATTAGTTTCTCTATCAAAGGATACTTCTGTTTTGAATAAAATAACATGCTTTGCATACATGTGAACTGTATACTTGAGGATCGGCATCCTCTGTCGTACGACAGAGTGCCTTGCGGCCGGGGGTGGTCTATAGCAACCACCACGGCCTCGAGATCGGAGAAGGAGTGGATCCCACAATCTCCCGCCCTTGATTTTTTTATCAGACAACAGTGAAGAGTCGGGCACTCTACCTTGCTCTAAAGCAAGGTCGCGGCTCCAGATACATATACTTGTTGTTGTCAAACAACATTATAGCATATTATAATGTTGGTGTAATTAGGGTTGTAAAGGAATCAGATCGAATCGAATACTAAGCAAAATTATTCGTATTCGTATATTTTCACGAATATTCGGATTCGTATTCGATTTGTATTCGAACCATAATCTCTATTCGTATTCGATTCGTATGTTTATTCGAATATATTCGAAAATTATTCGAATATTCGAATTCGAATTTTTTAATTATAAAATATGTTTGACCGATCGAATTTATGATGAAAGCTTTGTATTTTTTCTCAATTTTCACAGCACATATTCCATCTAAAATAAAACGAATCCACAAGCTTAAGCAATATCAAATCTGTTTAAATAAATAATAAAAAGAAGCAAAACGTAAATGTTGAAGGTAAATCCCGTAGATCCGAAAGCCCAACACGAACTTTGGATATATCAGGAATGGCACAGAATCAAAGTGTATAAACAAAATATAAAATATGAACTCACTAATACTCGAAAGCTCACTTGTATTAACTAACCAGTCTGATTACAAGGAATTTCCCGATCGGTAGGTCGGAAACAATGTTTTAATACAAGAAATAAGAGCAATGATGCTATTCTAGAGCCTGAGTATTGAAATGCTAACCCTTACAATGAATTGAAACCTTCTATTTATACTAATGGAGAGCATGGGCTGCCCTATGCTGATTGGCCATTGTTCCACCGACTTGGTCATCCATGTTTCCACTTGCTGATGTCACAATCTGGCATTAATTGCACCTGGCCACTTGCTGGTTGGCCGTTGCCCGAACGGGATGTTGGGCTATGCTGAATATGCTGGTAAATTGGCCCAAGTATAATATATAGCCCGAACTCCGTTCGGTATGTTTTCTTACTGGGCCAACCCTTATTTGGGCCGAATCTCGTTCGGCATCAATTCTACCTTGATTATCTCATCATAGAGTGATGGGCCCGTTGCTTGGGCCGGGTATCTTGGGCCTTCTTGATCCGGGTATTGGGCCTCTAGGTCAATATCCCAACACAAGTCCCCCACTTCCGATGTCTCGAACAACAGTGAGTGCATTAGGAAGTATGAATACCAATGTTGCAATCCGCCGAATGACGATCGGGGTACAGAAGTCATCAGTTCCCCATGCTGTGATTTGACGGCTGCCGCTTCATTTCCCCATATTCATCATGGTAACCGTCGTTTAGTCTTTTCATTAGACACGCGTTTATCTTAAATGCTTCTAGTGACGTGTCGCTCCCTGATTGGTTATTGACACGGCGGTTTCAAGGCTATAAATTAGCCTTTAACTTCTCAAATCCGGGTTTCGATTCTGCAATTCTCTGCGCCTTGTTGATTCCCCTGCAATTTTCTCCCAGCTTCCATCGCTCAGGTACCTTTCCTCCCTTTGTTCCTTATCTTCATTTCCGGCTCGACCGAGATGAGTCCCAAACAGCATTCTTCTGATTCGGAGATGGCCTCCCATGGAGATGACCGTGACGCCGCTATTGTGGACGTCATCACAGTCCCATTCGCCGGTGGTTCTACTGAAACGACGACAAATACCAGGGCTGAGGCGGAGGACCTTCCTAGCACTTCATCTTCCTCTGGTGAAAGTTCCGATGGCACAAAATCTGAGGACGAAATGGCCTTAATGGCGGCTGGACGGCCAAAAGATGTTCCCCGTCATTCCCTCGACTTAGGTTTAATTAGGGCAAGACGGCAGAAATTGACCGCCAATAATAGGGCCGAAATCCCGGACCTAATCCCAGACCTAGTGGACTTTCGATTGCACACTGGGCTTCATCCCCTACGTCACGCCCCTGGGATGACCGTGGTCCACTTCAATTCAGTGAGGGCTGGGCTTAGATTCCCGTTACACCCCTTTTTTATTTCATTTTTTAATTTTTATGAAATTGTACCTGCCCAAGTCATGCCGAACTCCTATCGAGCAGTGGCGGGCTTCATCTGTCGTTGCAAAGATGTCGGTGCTTCGCCGACCTTAGATTTATTCCATCAATTTTTCAAAGTAGCCCCTCAACAAACTCACGGGTACCTAGCTGTTAGTTCCCGAACGGGCCATATCTTATTCAAAGGCAATCCAACCTCGATCAAGGGATGGAAAAATAGATTTTTCTTTGTGTCTATCCCGGACGGGCTGATCCCTCATAAATGGAACGCCTTTCCCCGCAAGACTCCCGACCCAGTTCTTACTGAAGAAATTTATAAGGACGTTCTTGTTGTGGAGAAGGACAAGTGTTGTGATATCATGACCTACTTGACTCCCGATCGGCTGGTTAAAGCCGGGATAGGTAATGCCCGTTCTCTTGGGTTTACTTGTTTTGAGAATCAAGTGCCATAGTCCGGGCGGTCCTTCCCGTGCGAGAAACGTTCCTTTTTTGTTACTAGTTTCTCTCATGCTAAAGGCCGCTCGGTACTAACATTTCCCTTTGTCATTTTTTCAGCTCCCAATCCAGACGCTACTATGGATGACAGTCGTGTGCTCCTTGCCGGTGGGATCGGGAAGAGGAAGAAGAAGATGAAGAGGAATCCAAAAGTTGATTCACCCACCGCTGCTGCTCCTCAATCCGAACCGGCACCGACCGTTCAGCAACCGGAGCCTATCCAGCAATTCTCCGGTCAGGATCATTTTGACGCTATGATGATCGATGACCGCTTTGGTTCTGATCAACTGCATCAGTTCTCCCAACACTTCGACTCCGTTCAGGGGGAACCCTCGAACGTAAGTGGGACTCATACCGACCATATCACTGGTCAGGTCGAGCGGATCTCCTTATCGGATCCTGTTCACGAGGTGTTAGAAACGGCTGGTTCTACCGCGAGCCAGATCTGGTCGACATCCTCCTGGTTCAACAATTTCTCCCTTCCTCAGTTGCCGGTCGAGCAATCTGAAGAATGCCTGGCCTTGACCGCTCTGAAGGTATATTATCTTTTGCGCTCTGTTTTTATTTTATTCTCTGTAATCAGTACTAACTCTCGAACGGTGCTCTGTAGATGGGTTTGTACACCCTGCAAATGCGGGAAGCCCGTCTGGCCAAGGAACGGGAACTCATTGTTGCTCAATCTTCTGCTGAGCAAACCGCTGTTGCCGCCATCTCCTCCCTGGAAGCCGAACGGAAGGCTTTTGCGGAGGAAAAACAAAGACTGGATGTTGAGCTTGGTACCCTTCGGGTCCAACTTGCTGCTTCCCAAGCAAAAGTCATCGCTGCCGAGGCCGCACAGATCAAGTCCGAGGAGATGCCTTTCAGCATCCCGGACGGCCCCTATGAAGTGAATGTGGATCTGTCCGCTGTCCGGGAAACATTTAAATCCTCTGATGAATTCTCCATCATCAAGGACGATCACGCAAGGACCCAAATCCCGTTCGCCTTTGGAGCGTACTTGAAGGGTTTCCCTAAAGGTGCTGGTCAGCTCTCGGCAGGGGTGGCTCTTTTGGACAAGGATCCTGAGGCCAAGAAATGGAATGACTCCATCGTTACAGATCTTTATGCCAAGATCGGCCAGGTCCTGCTGCGTCCCTTCGTCGCTCAACTTCAAAACAATCTTGGGAGGCTGGTTCAGGCTTCTGATCTTCCCCAGGATGACATTATACAAGCTCAATTTGAGAAATTTCAGCGAGATCAACAACGGGAAGCTGATCGGGCTGCTGGGAAAGAGCCTGAACTCCCGTCTGATGATGATGAAGACGAGGATGAAGATGGAGAGGAAATGGCCCCTGGCCAATAATCTATATGTACTTTTTAATTAATCGTTGTATTTCTCTTTTCTTCAAGTAGCTTGTACTTCCCGGTCAGTAGAACCGATG